GAGAGTTGTTATTTGTTAAATAAATCCAATACAAATCAATATAATATTTGAAATGTGAGTTGTTTAACATTTACTAATTGAAAAGACAAATATATCACTACATGACGTTTGTGATCTTTATTTGAATGTCGTATTGTTGATATATATATATATATATATATATATAGAGAGAGAGAGAGAGAGAGAGAGATTGTATTTGCGCAATTTATAAAATTGCATACATATTAAAAGAAATAATTCATAAGTACCCTTGAACTATGACTAAGATCTCAATGACACACATTTACTCATGTTTATAACATATTTTTAGGTATTAAAATAGAGTTAAGGTATAAAATAAATGTGTTTATCATGAACAGTTAATTTGAAATAAATTTATTGTATCATACTAGTGATATGATAATAGATATTCTTATTATACTTTAATATGATATAGGAGAACAATTATAATCCAACTTTGAAAGATAGGAGTTTTCCACTTTTAAGTTTTATATATATATAAAGTTCTATATAAATAATTAGTGTATTTGTCTTGCTGAGAGTGCAGAGGTATATTTTTAACTTGTGAAATTATGAATGATGTCATTTTAGTCATATCTGGTTTTTCTTCTTCAAATAATTCTTTGGTATAATTACACCAAGAACTATCTTATTAATTCCAAATATTTCTCTCCATTCAATTATATAGCTTATAAAAAATATTATTGTATTAATAAAATCAAGGATAAAGATAAGCGATAAAAATATTTTAAAAAAATAAATTAAAATGATATTTGAATTCAAACTTAAATAAAATTTGATTTGTAATGGAGCTTTACTTTCTTAGCCCCTCTTACATATACTTCTACAATGATTTATAATGTTAAGATCACTTCTCTTCTTTTTTTTTAAGTTATTGATCACTAACTTTATTACTGAATTTTAATTTCATGTTGTACAAAATTTATCCATTATAAAATGTAAATAGATATAACTAACTAATATCCTTATTAATATCTTACGCACCATAAGAATATTAGATAAAGTGACAAGCTATTAAAAACTTACATATTAATGTAAGGATACTAATTTATGAATAATACGATAACTATTAAGTTAGGACAAAACTAGGAAACAAATTATAAATTATAATGTGAAAAAAGTTGAAGGGCTTTTAGATGAGAAAATATTTTTTCAAAAAAGACTTAAAATCTATATATCATATAACTAAAATCTCAATGAATAAGGAAACATTAAAATATAAAATTTAAGTAACAAATTTAAGCTTAGTATTCTATATATTGATATAAAAAAACACTCAGCTGCTTATGACGTGTTACGTAAAAAATTCGTTCAAATTAGATTAGCGAAAAGTAATAAAAATAGAGTAAAACAAAAGAAGGGGGAAGAGGGGTGGGGAGAATATTTTGAATAATTTTGAGAATACAATAAAATAGTTAAATAATATACATATTATTGTCCATAAAACTTTAAATTAGAGAGATGTGAACACTAAAATAAAATTATAAAATCACGAGTAAACACAATAAATATATATGTTTTATATTAATTTGAAAATTATTTAATGATTATATTAAGCTAAATGATAAGCTTATAAAAATCAATACTAACAATTTAATGATTTCAAATTGTGAACAATATAATAGTAATAATAAAATATGATACATAAAATTTATTCGTTGTGTCTATTCACATAGAATTAGTTATGGGGTGAGGGTGGGTGGGGAGGGGGAGGGGAAGGGATTGCATTTCATTAATGATGAACAATATGATAGTTGAACTTTTGTATGATTTACTATACTCGAACAAGATATCACAATAAAAAAAATTAAAAATAATATTTTAATATTATATACGCATTACGCGGGTACGTATACTAGTAACATATATATAGAACAGTGATGGAGATTAGAACATAATTAATTTTTTTAAAAATACACTCTCTCGTACTCATTTTAATATTATGTCAAACACATAATTCCTCGATTTTATTGTTTGTGTTGAGGTAGAGTTGAATTTTATTTAGTTGCTTATGTCGAATCTGACCTGTTTATATTTGACCCGCCCGCCCCGATCCACTTATTTGTGAATACTATTAGTGTGCTTACTTATCTTTTTGAATCCCCTCGACAAAAATCATGCCTCTGCCTCGAAGTTTGCAATATTTGCAATACTTTGGCATCTAATCATATAAGAATTTTATCCATGATGAGATGATTTCCCCATAATATGTCTTCTTAACTCCAACATTGATTTGTTTGAGAAATTCTTTCAATAAGTCGACCTCAACCTTTACCATGACAAAACTAGGTCTAGATTTGCTTATTGTATCCATGACAACATGTAATGGTTTTCCCACTGCTTTATCTATCGTAAACAAGGATTCTTTAACGAAAAAGTTAGGTGATAGGGATAAAAAAGAGATCTACGCTAAGGCAATAGTAGTTTCCTCCTCTAGGTTGAACTAGGGTTCCCACTTTAGAGGTCACATATGATATTATATCAGTCTTTAGCCTTCAAAAAATATGTCGATTTTGACATGACATGTACGTAATCATTCATATTGGTAAGCCGAATTAATATGTGTCCATCACTCAAGAATCCTTCCTTACATTCAGGCTTGAATCTCACACCGTAAAGGATCAATTTACGAATTTTTTCTAGGTTTGACCAGCCATAAGACAATTTTCCAGAAGCATACTGTAAATCTTTTTTAATGATCATGATCTGAACCTCTTCTTCCTCCCATAATACAGTTGGGTCTCCATGGATGGAAGTAATATCTTTGATAGGGATAGGCATTGTGATTTTGTCTTCTACTTTATTAAAATTCGTTGCACAGTTCAATGGTGGTTTTGGTGGTGGTTCATCAGCATGGAGCTTAGGCCATCTATCGCTGGCGTTGACAATGACTCTTAAATTTAGGGTTTTGGTACGAATTCCTTTGGTAGCTCATCACTAATGGTATGCCAGATTATGGTAAAACATAGGATGGGCAGAGACAAGCAGAAGAAAGTTTAATTAGGACAAAGTTTATAGAGGTTGTAGAAACATCAAAAAACTGAAAAATACTAATGAGTCATTTGGAAGGGAATGTTAGGAGAAATAGTCCATGTATTTGTATGGTATTATTTAGTACTATGTTTGGTAGGAATTTAAGGCCTATGTATAACTAATTCATGGATTAGTTACACACCCAACATGATAGATGATGTATAACTAATACCTTATATTTGGTGATATTAGGAATACATAGAATTTAATACCACGGTATAAATCTATGTAAAACAAAAAAAATATCCCTCAGAATTCTTTTAACGGTTTTGTTTATTTTCTGTATAATATTTGAAATGTGAGTTGTTTAACATTTACTAATTAAAAAGGCAAATATATCACTACATGGAGTTTGTGATCTTTATTGAACGTACAATTGTTGATAGATATATATTAAGTTCTAAATAAATAATTAGTGTTTTTGTCTTGCTGAGAGTGAAGAGGGATATGTTTAACTTAGTGAAATTATGAATGTTGTCATTTTAGTCATACTTGTTGTTTCTTCTTCAAATAATTCTTTGGTATAATTACACTAAGTGATCCTTCGATCAACTTTTTGAGTGTATATAATGTATATTTAAAGTATAGCTCATGTATAGATGAACTATATTGTATAGTTAATGTCTATTTTCTATAACTTACAACGAGCTATATTTAGTCAATGTATACTTTCTATGATTTTTGGCTATTTTTTATGTCAATAAAACTTTGTTATATTTGTTGTAAACTAATTACTTTATTGTATATATTTAAAACTACTCCTATATTTGTCATAAACTAATTCCCTTCTATCATAAGCCTTAAATAAATGTGAAAATGTCTACTAGAAATCTGCAAATTTTCCATCAGGACATTATATACAATATGAGATTTCTGTCGGAACAATGCGGTATATTAAAATCAAAAAGTGATTAAGCGAAAAACCTTTCCAATTCGAGCACTAAACTGCGGTATAAATAATAATAATATTTATAAATTCAAACGCCCTCATATGCTTGATGTGATACATTGTAGGTCTCTAAATGATGATTGACTAGGAAAATTCAATTGTAAATGCAAAATTCGTGTTACTATTAAAACATTAAGGGGTCGTTTGGTGTGACGGATAAAGACAAATAATCCTAGGATAATTTTTTAGTACCCATCAATTCTTTGTTTGGTTACAAAGTGTGGGATAACTTATTCCAGGATTATTAATTATGACTGAGATAACTTATCCCTACTTGTGGGTGGTGTACTAATCCCGGAATATGTTATCCCGGGATAAAAATGTAAAATAACAAAATTACCCCCTTAAACCCACTGTTATAAACAAACAATTTATTCTTAGAGGGTATTTTTGTTAACACACAACTTACTCTTAGAAATTATGTCATGCATATTTGACAAACCAAACAACCAATAAGAAATAATCTTAACATAACTAATACTATCATAACTTATCCCAACATAACTTATCCCAACATAACTTATCCCATCATATTTAATCCCAAGATAACTTGTCTTCAAACCAAATGACCCCTAAGGGTTTTATTAATCATTTAATATATATATTTTTTAAAATGTTCTCAAATAAAATGGCAGTCAAGTGCAATCCAATAACATAATTCTAATTAAGGAAAATATTTATCCTCTAATTATGATAATAAGATCTATATCTACCGAGACAAAGAATGAAGGGAAGTGAATCTATGATAATAAGGTCTATATCTACCGAGACAAAGAATGAAGGGCAAGTGAATCTAATGTTTTTCATTTTCAATACTTTTCTTCAATGCAAAAAGGAAAGAACATAAATTTCTAGGCTCCCCAAGTTATCTTAAAACACAATTTCCTATATAAAGTTGTTGGTGTTAAGACCAAAACTCACAATTTTACTTTCACAATTTCTTAGTAATAGTTTATAGATTACAAGAAAAATCAGCAAGGGTCCTCAAAGGGTTGACATGGTGAAAATCAAGAAGGCAAGTAACTTAGGAGTTACGTTTTCTAAGCGTCGTGTTGGTCTGTTCAAAAAGGCTAGTGAACTTTGTACGCTATGTGGTGCTAAAATTGTCATTGTGATATTTTCCCTCGACGGCAAAAATGTGTTCTCCTTTGGTGACCCTAGCGTGGACAGGTTGGTGGAGAGGTTCCTTGGGAGGAACCTCCCTCCAGCAAATAACGATGTCCACAATCAACAAATCGTGGCTTGTAGAGAAGCTGGTATTCGTGAGCGCAATACCAAGCTCATGAACCTCAAGGGGGTTCTCCAGATGGAGAAAAATTGCGGAGAATCCCTTCGAGAAATTAGGAAGAGAGCTGATGGTGTATAGTGGGAATCTTCTATCGAAGAACTTAACTTATTCCAACTTCAACACTTGAAGAAGGCATTGGAAATTCT